TCAAACTTGAGATTCATGTCATGAAATTTGATAACTAAATAGAAAAAAAAATTAATATTAACAAACTGAGTTTAAAAAAAAAAAGAAAAAGAAAAAAAAGAAAGAAAAAGGTAAAAAAACTATTAAAAAAAGATTAATTTAAAAGAAAAAATAAAGAAAAAAACCTACATGAAGAAAAAAAATCTAAATTAACTAAGTTAACATTTCAAATCAGTTTAATCTATCAAACTTATAATTCGTGTTATGAATGTTTGATAATTTAATAGGAAAAAAAGTTTTATAAGTTAACCTAGAATTAGTTGGGTTAAACTGTCAAACCCGAAATCCATGTTATGAAAGTTTGATAACTAAATAGAAAAAAAATTTAACATTAACAAGCTAAATTAAACAAAAAAATTAAAAAGAAAAAAAAGGAAGGAAGAAAAAAAATGAAGAAAAGTTTTTGAATTAATTGGGTTAACCCATCAAATTAGGTTACCCCGTTAAACATGGGATCCGTGTCATGAAATTTTGATAACTAAATAGAAAAAAAAAATTAATATTAACAAACTGAATTTAACAAAAATTAATTAAAAAAAAGAAAAGAAAGAAAAAAGCCTAAAAAAATATTAAACAAAAAAAATATTAATTTAAAATAAAAAAACAAAGGAAAACAAACCTATAGAAAGAAAAGAAAAAACCTAATGAAGAAAAAATGAACTAATTGGGTTAACCCATCAAATCGGCTAACTCGTCAAACCTATGATCCGTGTTATGAAAGTTTGATAACTCAACATGAAAAAAATTACAAGTTAACTTAGAATTAGTTGGGTTAACCCGTTAAACCCGGAATCCGTGTAATGAAAATTTAATAACTCAATAGGAAAAAAATTACAAGTTAACTTAGAATTAGTTGGGTTAACCCGTTAAACCCGGAATCCGTGTAATGAAAGTTTGATAAATAAAGAGAAAAAAATTTAATATTAACAAACTAAATTAAATAAAAAATTAATTAAAAAGAAAAATCAGAAAAAAAAATATTCGAGTTAACTCGTTAAATTCAGAATCCGTATCATGAACATTTGATAATTAAATAAAAAAATTAAAATTAACAAACTAAATTTAAAAAAATTCATTAAAAAAACAAAAAAAATATCAAAAAATATATTTTTTTTTTACTGTGAATTGAATTGTGTAGTATACAATGAAATACATAAAAAAATTAAAAAAATATAATAAAAAAAAAAAAAGCTCAGAGTTTTATTATTGATTTTATGATGGACTGTACTCTATGAAGCACAGTAAAACACGAAGCTTTTAATTATAGTTAATGAGTCAACGTGCCTCAATTAATTTGCAGGGATGAGATGATAGCTGCTTCCACATTGTGGTGCCTCGAAACCGGCAGGTTTTTGTGCCGTGTAATGAGATCTGGTCAGAAAGTATGTAATTAAAGTCGAAGACTACAGTATATGTTGCTGACAATCATAGATTAATATAAATTTGATCGGTCCATGGTTTAGATTCTTCTTCAACATAGTTTGTACGGCCTGCTAGTCCCCAGATTTTTTCTTGAAATCAGGCAATTTTTTGTTTGTTGTGTTAGTTAAATCGGACAGAGCAGATCTTGTTGAGCAGCTTCTTTGGAGAGCTGCGATGTTTGTCAAGTCAACTGTACAGTAGCTTCATCCACATGCTTTATAGTCTCGAATGTCGATACTCCAGTTTATATATATATATAGTCAGTTTTTTAGATAACATAAAGTCTTAAAATTAAAAATACTCTAAAGGCAAGGGAAATATTGTTTCCATAGCATTGTAGACACTAGGGGTGTTCAAAAAAACCAAAAAACCGATTAAACCGAGAAAACCGGAAAAAGAAAATTGAAAAAACCGAACCGAAAAAAAAACCGATTAAACCGATTAAAATTTTGAAAAAACCAGCCGGTTCGGTTCGGTTTCGGTTTTATAACCAAAAAACTGAAAAACCGAACCAAACCGAAACTGGAAAAAAAACCGAGCCAAAACCGAGCCAAACCGGAAAAACCGAGAAAACTGAGAAAACCGAGGCAAAACCGGGAAAAACCGAGCCAAACCAGAAAAACCGAGCCAAACCGATTTGAACCGGTTTTTCCCTTAAAAAACCGAACCAAACCGAACCGAAACCGGTCGGTTTGACCCGGTTTCGATTCGGTTTCGGTTTTTTTTTTTTCAATTTTTTTTTCCAGTTTGGTTACTTTTTTTGATAAAAACCGAACCGAACCGAAAATGAACACCCCTAGTAGACACATACTTGTGGATACCGTGGAATCACTTTGTTCATAAGTTTTTTTTTTCTCTTTAAGGACCTAATTGAAAGCTAATTTAGCTAAAATTATTTAGAAAGGGAAAAAAAAATGAAAGATAGAGGATCACAATTCAAAACACAAAAGAGATAGATCTTGTTTTTTATTTTTTTGGCACAATGTTCAATTTAGTAATCATATTTTTCAAACTATAAAATTAGGTCCCTTCCATTTTTAAAATTTTAAAAAACTCAATTTTGGTCTAAAACATTATTTTTCTTAGTTTTTTTAATACATGTATATTTTTATTATCATTTGATTAAATAAAAAAATTATTGTTGATAAACATACCCATTTTACAAGTTCAAATATCTTAATGTATACTTGTCTTTTGAGTTTTCTATTTTTATCTTTAGTTTACATAAATAACCTTTTTTTCATTTATTAGTATATATGGTTCTATATTTATTTTATTAGATAAATGTATAAGTTTTTTTATTTACACTTATGATTTTTTATGTAAAAAAACATGTGGGGAAATGTTATATATTTGATTTTTTTATTGTATTTTTATCTTTAGTTTACATAAATAACCTTTTTTTCATTTATTAGTATATATGGTTCTATATTTATTTTATTAGATAAATGTATAAGTTTTTTTATTTACATTTATGATTTTTTATGTAAAAAAACATGTAGGGAAATGTTATATATTTAATTTTTTTATTGAAAAAAAATATTTGACATATGATGGAGTGCTAATCAAATAGCTAATGATATTTGAAAAGATGGTATATATAGTTTTCTTAGTATTTGTTTTTAGATAAAATAAAGTCTGAAAAATTCCCTATATATGTTTATAGCCTATCTCCTTTTTGTCTTTTTTTCTATGTTTTTTTTTTGCACTCTAAAAATTATTACTAAATTCACTTACTTTTCAGTTTTGATATTGTTCTTAAATATTATTATAAATTTTTATTTGTATTTCTTTCAATTATTATATATTATGTATCTGAAAATAATAATACTAATAATAAATTGTTCATGAAAATTCAACTTAAATTATCTTTTTATTCTTAACAATTTTAAATATATTTTGAATATGAATTTATTTTATTTATGATTTTTTTTTCAATCACACATAAAGTATGAACATACTATTTTGATTTTTTTTTTGTTTACTTACTATAATAGTTATAATAGAAACAATGATTCTAGTTAAAAATCTTGTATTTGCTAAGATAAGCAAGATATACATTGATAAAAAAAATTATTTGGATGGAAAAAAATTATGAAATGATTGTATTTTCAGATTTAATAATAATATCAAAAGAAGTTCATGAGATCTGAACTTTTTCTTATAATGATTTTTTTTTTGTCTTGCTACATGTTATATATCTAAAATATTTGAAAATTTTTATGATATTTACTATTTATATGAACAATGAAGCGCCTTTCTCTTTTTATCCAAGTTTTTTTCTATTAATTACACTCTATTTTGATTTTTTTTTTGTTTACTTACTGTAATAGTTATAATAGAAACAATAATTCTAGTTATGGTATTTACTGTTTATATGAGCAATGAAGCACCTTCCTCTTTTTATCCAAGGTTTTTTCTATTAATTACACCTTCTTTTTTTATGGTATAGTTTTTTTTTTTTCTATTCACATATTATTTCTTTTACATAGCATAGGCATCACTTTTCTAGTCAATATCTCCACTAATAAAAGTCAATATCTCCACTAATAATGCACGTGATATAACAACTCATAACTTTCTATAAAAATATTTTAACAAGAATCTCCATTAATGATAAGTATAGCACAACATTAATGACTTAATTTTTCATCAAATTATTTCTAAGTTGTATATTGGCACAAGTTCTAAGCATATCCTTGGCTATGCAAGGTTATGCAAGTTCTAAGCATATCCTTGGCTATGCAAAGTAGCCAAGTTCGAGGTTTCAAGCCCTGGATCCCTGTTGGAAGTAGTTGCTCCACTTCATCACAATTATAGTAATAGAACTATTAATAGAACAGTGGTAGTAAATGCTCGTATATTAGGAAGATAGAAACTCCAAGAGGGCATACATGTACTCTGTATATACACATAAAAGTTAAGGACCATGAATCATTCGATATTTCCTATAATTAGTTGGTGGATAATACAAGTAAAATCAAACTAAATTGGAAACAAACCGAGCAAATCCGCATTAAAATCCAAAAATATTAATATCCATGCTCTTATAAAAAGGAAAAGAAAATTAATGCAGAGAGAGAGAGAAGCAGTGCCTGAACTGGCTAGTTGCTATTTCCTATTTCGTGGATGAACATTGCAGAAACTCTGAAGCAGTCAACGCAAGTTAAAGCATAGACATCCCACGTTCATCATCGTCAATTAAACAGTCCACATTCTGGATTGCTCCTTCCTGTTTTCTCTCCATGATTTGAATCTTTCTCTTTCTTTTTTATCAGTGACGTTCCTTACTAGTAATTTCAATATCTAAGGGCACGTCATTCTCCAATTTTATTTTTTTTGTTTTTTACTCACATTTGTTTCTATATATTTATAACCTTGGTTTTGACCCGTAGCAAAATAGCAGTTATGAAGAGAGGGAGGGAAGTAGGTTACATTTTTTAAGGCTACGCTATCTCAAAGGCAGTTGAGATCAGTATTTATCAGTATAGTTTCGTAAGAGACTGTATATAAAGAGGTGCAAGCTGGAGACTCGGGTGTGTGATCACCAAGAAGAAGCATCAGGTCACTAAATTAATAACTAGATATTTAGAAGATGGTGCGCATGCTCTATTGGTTTACTGCAATATTGCTGCTATGGACGGCGACGGGCACAGTCCGTGGAGGGAACGTAACCTACGATGGAAGATCCTTGATCATCAATGGCCAACACAAGATTCTCTTTTCTGGTTCAATCCACTATTCTCGCAGCACTCCTGATGTACGTATCTCACTGTTCTGTTCATGTACTTGCGATACATATGTTGCTTTTCTTCTTCTTTTTAGTCTGTTTTGGCTATAGTTGTTCAACAAGCATGGCCTTTATCTATTTCTTTGTGGCCCTTCATTCCTCTATCTCCCACCTTTACCGTAAGTCGAGGACGTTTCACTTAATCTCTTCTCTTCCTTTCTCCCACGGATGCGTTTCATTTAAGAAAAGATAAAGCTGGGTTGTCTGCAGTTCTATGATGATAAATCCCATGATACTGTTCCTGTTTGCAGATGTGGTCATCATTGATTTCCAAAGCCAAGGCTGGAGGCATAGACGTTATACAGACCTATGTGTTTTGGAACCTGCACGAGCCACAACAAGGGCAGGTAGCTCCTTGCGCGTGTGTAAGGCCCCTTTTAATTTTCGTTTGATCGACTGTAGTGGTGAGTGACCATTTCATACCCTATTCGTTGCAGTTTTATTTCAGTGGAAGAGCGGACTTGGTAAGG